TGCTGATGCAAAAAAACACACCACACAAACCAATTTTCTGAAGACTGCATTTGAGTATCATAATATATATATGTGCATTTCATTTTTTACAGATATAAACTCAGTTTATTTTTAACCTGTATTTAAATTTTGGAGGCTTACATTAAATTAAGGTAGCTTGTTTAATATCAATTGTAACAGCAGGTGACATTTTTTTTTTATATAAAAACAGCCAAAAGAAAAAAAAAATGATTTAAAAGACCTGACACCAATGATCTCAAGGCAAGATCAAAAACCTATGGATTTATACTTTCAGAAAAGAAAAAGGGGGCACTTACGCCAACCCATTCACAGCATCTCCCTGCTGGCTTCTTCATACAGTGGTTTTCATAGTGGTCCCAGAGGGAACTGTATTTTGCCTCTCTAGCTAAAATACTAGTTACTATAGCAATTTTCAAGGAAGAAAATGGTGGCTTCAAATATGAAAAATTGGCAAAACTTCAAATACACTGTCTGGATCAGGCAGAAAATAGCATACACTAATGCTGGGAGTGCAAAAAGAGGGGGAATGAAATGCAAGAGTAGTGCACCTTCAGAACAAGGTGCAAGGGTAAACAAAAACAAAACAAAAAAATTGTTCTGTGAAGTTGGGAAGAAACCTTGCATTCATAGATCAAGCCTGGGTTAGCCAAATTAAGGGTTTTTTTTAAAGTAGATTGCATATATAGATGTTTCATCTACATACTTCACAATCAAACTTACAATACTTCGAAACTCCTTTAAGAGCAGAATTTAATCTAATTTACATGCTTCAAAGAAGGTAAAACTTTCTCAGTGCTTACAACAAATGTTCGTATCCAAATCTCCACTTGTACAATGAGATCTTTAAGAAAAAGAAATGAGACAGAGGGAATTGCTATTTTTTTTTCCTTTAGCAGCAATGAAATATCACTAACCCCTTTTTACAGAACCGAATTCAAGTCACAACCAGAGGTGACTGCACCACAAAGTCACCAAGTACAAAACTGCTAGTTAATTTTAAATTAATAACTTGAAATTATTTTCCCCAATACATCCCTTTTTTTTTTTAATAAACAGCAAACATTTTGCTATTTTTGTACATAGGCTAGCAGGCTTGTTTCAATATGAAAGTGCTAATTCATTTACAGATTTCTCAGTTATGTAGTGCTACATTAAGTGTCCAATATTCTACATATGAACAATCTGGATAAATGGAAACAATGAAGATTAAGTAAGGCTATCTGATTACCTTATCTTATTTACATTAAAAGAATAGACACCCAATAGGAAGGGAGAAAAGGGAAATAAATTGGGCCAATACTTATATGCCACAGGTGTAAAAATTAAGTCTGCCTTCTAGCTTGTACTGTAAATGAGACATTTTAAATAGTCCTGCAGCCCATGCCTATCTTTTTCCTCAGAAAAAGAAAAGCTGCCTTCATGACATCCCCTCTTGATTTCAGATTTCCAAAGTGTGTCATTTGAAGCTTTAAATTCAGATTCTTCCTATCTTAAAAAAAAAAACAACTCTGGTTTGCTTTCCAGTATTAGGTTGCATGATCAGGTCCCACTTCTGGGGCTTTTGTCCAATCTATTTATCAATTAGTTTAGAGTGAGCTGTAGATAACATGAACCAGTTCTGGAACCACTATTGGGAGGAACACAAGCTCTTCACTACAATCACACAGTAGCAGGAAAAGTGATAATTCAATTCATTCCTGGGGCAGGGCCTCCAAAATTAAATGAAGTTGGCACAACTGGAGCATTGAATTTGTATCCTCCATGCTTTTCAATCATTTTGGATTCTAAAAATAAACAAACAAAAGATTAAAGTTTTGTGACCACATAGTATTTCAATCTTCTCAGAGATGTTTAACTCAGTGTAAAACCCAAGAACACAACCAGGACCAACAAAGTGGGTGGGAGCATGGCAGGTCCCACTAATATACAGAATGAATTTAAGAAGTTTCTCAGTATTATTAAAATTATGTTTATGTGAAAATATATTTAACAAGGAAAAACAAAACAAAACAAAAAAAAGAACACTTCAGCTTTCAGGAATATGTAGTTTTCACATTTTCAAAGAGGACCTAAACAAACATTAGGTATCTAAAATTATTAGCAGATACACAGTGCTTTCTGATTGACATTGATAGACTTTTCAGTCAATAAAAGAACAAATGTACAAAAAAGCAGTATATAGTTATTAGATTTTCAGCATTTTCTTATGGATTCAATTATATAAGCAGCAATAGTAACTGAAGCTGTTATATATGGAAAACTCCAAAGCGGATTGAGTTGTCCATATATATGGACAACTCAAAAGCAACTCAAGAGCAGATGGAAATGTATAGTTCCATCCACCTTTACTACTGTCTAGATCATGTAGTAGATGGGTTACATTGTTCCCAACTCAATAAAGTGACACATTTTACCTTTTGCTTTCCAAAATGATCCTTCCTCTCTGAAAAATGGTAGTCAATCTGAGACTTTTCTACTGCTTTGACATATCACAGAATGGTTGAGGTTGGAAAGGACCTCTAAAGATCTAGTCCAACCCCACTGTTTCAGCAGGGACAACTAGAGCACATGGCACAAGGTGGCATCCAGGCAGGGTTTGAAGATCTGCAGAGAAGGAGACTCCACAACCTCTCTGGGCAGCCTGTTCCAGGGCCATCACCCCCACAGTATATAAGTTCTTCCTCGCATAGAGATGGAACTTGCTGTGTTTCAACTTGCACCCATTACCCCTTGTCCTGTCACTGGCCACCACCGAGAAGAGTTTGGCCCCATCCTCTTTACATTCTCCCTTCAGGTATATGTACATATTGATCAGATCCCCTCTCAATCTTCTCCAGGCCAAACAGGCCCAGTTCACTAAATCTTTCCTCATAACGTTCAAGTCCCTCTGCGAGACTCAAGGGAGAGAGATTTGTGACCTCTCTCTCTGGAGATACAGATCTTCATTTTGTCTGTTCCTTTGGAAACAGGATAGAAAAAAGTTGCCATAGAGGGGAAATGGGGAACATGACCTTTGTCCACTTCCTGCACCTACAGTTCACAAATATCTCTTAGCTCTTGGAAATCCCTATTACCAAGAGTAATGGGAAATAATATTCTACATCCTGCTAACATAATATGTTCATGTGGATGGAGTATCAATGTGCTCCAATAATACCAAGAGTTTCCTGTAAGGATCTCGTTGCTTAAATTAATCTCCATAATCTGATACTCTGAACCTAACTTGCTCTATGAGTAAGCAGCTTTAAAAAAGTTCCTTTTCAGAAAATGCAGATATGAATCTTGGGCTTGATAGGGATAACAGTGAGACTGGACTTCATATTCATTAAAAGGGAAACACTGGAGTTTTAAAATCTTTGTAAGATAGCTTAGGATGTTCTGACATAAAATACTTACAAAATTGTAATCCAGTCTTTTTACTGAAAAGTTTCTACACTTCTCCTTTGAAATATCTTCTATTAACTGTGCAGTAAGACTATGAGGCAGGATATGAGACTGGAACATAGAACTGACTCACAATTTAGCCTTTAACCTAGCTTGACTTCAGAGAAAATGCTTAGCATACAAAAACACTTGCACATATATATGCTTACCCTCAAACACCTGTGAAAACTAATGGAAAGAAAAGAAAAAATACCTGCCTCTCTTCTGCATTTAAAGTTCTTAATCTATTGAAGAATGGTAACCTGAAATGTTTTATAGATTTAACCATATGGCTTTACAGATGGATACTACATACTAGTATTTTCCCATCCACAGAATCACGGCTGCCCTAGGTTACATCAGGAAATAATTTATCTGCCACTTAACATGTTTGTATGATACCACACACAGTCCATCTACTCTCAGGTTGTCAAATCAATTGTTTTCAAATCTACACAGTTCTGACAAATGTCTACTTACTGGGTCACTTCATTAAGATATGCCTACCATTCCTTACATCTCTCATATGGCATACAATTTGTGCCTTGAGCCTTTGTATTAGCTGACAATTGTAGAGATTCAAATGTAAAACAACTCTCCTTTGATGAAGACACTAGACTGTGATGAAGACACTAGACACAGTCTAGAATTTTTGACTTGTGATTCCTGAGCACATAAACAGCATTTAAAGAGCAAAAAAGCAATCAACAGGGTAAAGAGGGAAAAATACCATGTGCTGCCCGCCTCTGATCTGCCAGAGTTGCTATGTCCTGCAATTGTTTTCTTTGTTCTTCATTAAGACCCTGTGTCAAAGTCTGGTACCACACAGGGTTACGATTCTGAATTGCTGCAAGAGAAGGAAAGTGTTCATAAAATATTTGGTAAGTCAAAACTTGCTAACTCACCACATTTTTAATCACAGTAATATTCCTATCAACCCCATCACCACTATGTAATTTAAGAAATTTAAAACCATTAATACAACTTCTAGCACCTCTTCCCATCTGCCAGAAATTCACTCCATTCTTTCCCCCTGCTCTAAAAACATGGTGCTCTTTTCCTCTTTCCAAAGGAAGATTTTATTTGGATAAGATCTTTAACTGGAATAACCAGAAAGCCTGTTTGGACGTTTTCAACAAGCCCCCCTAGTTTACAATACTATTCCTACAGCTGAATTTCCAGAACACTAAAATTAAGTTAAAGCTGTTTGGACAGGAAATAAATTACTCACTCTGAAAAATTGTTTTAAATATTTGATATTCATCTACAGGGTTGTCTTCATCATCAATAATTGTTGAATAGCCTTCCAAAGCAGTCTCTTCAGCATCATCTTCTTCCCAGTCTTCATCATCTCCATCTTCACCAGCCTGTTTTGCCAGGATCTCTAGATATTCTTGACCATCTTCATCAATGTCATCTTCATCACTCCCCAGTTCCTCTGGGTTAAATATCACACAAAAAGAAGTTTATCACAAGAATAGTAACAACTTTTTAGGAAGTTGCCTGATTATTCAGAACAGACAGCAACATCAGACTAGAAAGGAAGAAGCTCTTTCAACGCCTCTCCCAGCACCGTGGTCTCCTTTAGTACTACTTATAGCAACACTAAGTGGGAACAGACTTTGTTGTCACAGAAATGTGAACAGGAAAAGACATATAATCAAATCATTTGGAACACCACTTGATACAATTTTAAGCAAAGCATAATTTCTGCCCAAAACAAGGCCGGAAATACCGAAGTACAGGGGGAGCGGTACATATTTTTGAGGTACATATCAAGATGGGAAAAAGGGTGAAAACTTGTGGAAGGATTGTTATGAAGAAGAAACTCTGTAATGAAGTTTGATGCGGTTGAGGTTAAATTAGTTCCGAAACAGATTAGAAGAACTGTCACTTTCAAATCACACATAATGCCTAACAGTTCACATCACACTTTGTAATACATAGTTGAAAGTCTGCAGTTGAGCAGGACTCCTGAAAACTTTTTCTAATGACCCTTAGTCATCATTCAAATGCCCCAACAATAATTCCTTTCAGAAAGGACAGCATCCACACACAAAAGCTAGCTTCACAGGACTTCAAAGAAATCCAGTCTAGAAAACTAGCTTTTGCAAGAGATCAGAAAGAAGTCAAATAAGACTTGCAAAAGACATTAAAAGGATGCCAGTTAGGGCATCCTTAGGGCATTCAGTTCCCAGTTACTGAACTGAACAGCTGCACGAAAGAATTATTTCCAAATAATAGAACATATTTCATTTTTTGTACCTGTGTCCTCATCTTCTTCAGCTTCATCATCATCATCACTGTCATTTTCATGCTCTGCATGACAAGCATATGCTCTTTTCAATCCATTAAATAAAAGGATAAAAGCTGGCAGGATCTGTCCAGCAACTTGATTTAAAACCTGTGGTATTTGCTCTAGATCAATAAGAGCACACAAGCCAAGCACACACATTTTTCTGTCATGAAGACTGCAAAACAAAATGGTTACAAATTTTGTTATGATTTAGAAGTAATATAGCAGTATACAACAGAGGATAATCTTCAAAATTAGAAACACTTACCCCAAAAAGCAGTCTACATCATTAAGCCACTGTGTTATGAAGTGATTAGTGACAGGCTCTACATTATTGGGGAAACGAAGATTTTCCAAGGTATTTAAAAGTAGATGAGGATTGTAATACAAAGCAGCTATGGCAACCTGGAGGCACATTGTTCGCAGTTCACTTGTTTTTACTTCTCTGGTCAATCTCTCTAAAGCAGCTTCCACAAATAAGGGTATGCACTGGAAGAATGAGAATCATTACAACTTCAGTACACAAAAATCAGCCATTGGTTCTGTAGTTCTGTTTTACAGGCTTTTCAGTTGTAGTGAAATAAAATCCTGAAGATACTGTAATTCCATGCTTAAAAAACACAACATAGTAGAGAAGCAGAGAAAAATCTGTAAGCTATGAATTCCAAAAAATTATTTTTAAATATCCACTATCCAAAAGAGATAACATTAATATAAGCCATTCTAGGAAAACAAATAACCACCCCCCCACCTATTCAAATGCATAACCTCTTCAGACAGGCCATACAGAAGAAAAAGAATCTGCAATAGAAATTTTTGCTTCACATAAAGAGAATTTGTAGGGACCATATCCACATATATTAAAAAGATGCATGCAAAAATGCTCAATGTCATTTAATTAGGATTGTAGGAACTTCATTTTTATTCCAAAGTTAACTTGACAAATTCCATCATTTTCACAAATGAAGTGGAATGCATTTAGAGTAAAATTAATCAAATTTTAGAATTAATATGCCTCTAAGAGGTTACTCTTCCAGATTCATGAAAAGCTTTACAAAATTTAAATTCTGAAGACAAAGCATGCAATAACATTCCTTCAGCTCTATGACTGCATAGAAGCACTTGAAACACTGAAGTAGAAGACACGACTATTACTTAAACTGCAAAAATTTAACCAAACTTTTCAAGTTTAACACATAAGACTTGTTAAAAAAAATCAATTCATACTTCAGAGCATGATCTTTTTAAGAGATTACAGTAATCAAAGTTTTTACTAACCTGATCAATACCACGTCCTTTACACTGAAGAATAATTACTTCTAAAAGTTTTGCTGCATGGCATTCTGCATCTTCTCCAGCAACTCCTGTAAGGACCTGAAAAATAACAAATACTATTGTTATTATCCTTGTAAGAAGCATTTTCTATATGCTGCATGGCTTTGAGAAACTGATACACATTTATGCCCTCCATTACAATATGACCATAAACAGCCATCTACAGCAATAGCCCAGTGTCACAACTTCAGTTTGAAACATTGCTCAATCTGTTTGCAATTTATCTATCCATGCAAGTATTAAACAAGATAAATAGTTACTAGTGTAAGCTTTGAGTCCATTAAGCAATAGCTGCCATTTTGAAAGACTTCATTTTTACACATAGCATGAAAAATCTTAAATATTCAAGCACTAAAACTTGAGGTTGAACTTGCAATATCTGTGGAATCCAATGGAAAAACCACAAAGTACCCCATAATTTCTGTCCACACAGTACTCCATAATTTCTGTATCAAAGATTCACTTTGAATGGGTCTAATCAACCTGGTTGGAACTTCTTCTCAAATAAAGGCTGGCAAGAGTTATTTGCAATAAAATTCAAACATCTTCAGAATTGAAGAGGGCATCTTCAGAATGGAGAGGGCAGGGGACTGTTCATCATAGAGTTTTAGTATTGGCACAACACATGACATACTGAAGTGGAAGAAGTGAAATCCCTACCTATTATAATTAGAGATTGTAAAATATTACCACCACCTTATAAAGAAGTATTCATATCCTTACATAGGGCTAGCATTCTGGAGAACTTTGTCCTCTATGTATCAACTGGAAAAAGAAAGCTCAGTTGGAAGCTACCTATAATATAAAGGAACTGAGAAGCTAAGTTAAATACAGAAACACTGCCCAAAGTCACTTCACCGAGACGGAATAATTGGATTCTGCCTCATGATTTAGATACTGATCTGAGCCTAGGAAAATAACTCCTTATTCCTACTTACCACCCCTACATTGCTTGATTTAGAAAACAGATTAAAAACCTTTAGCATATATATATGATGTGTGGTATCCTAGCTATTGCGAGGCTACAAATATCAGATAAAGTAGCTACCTTTTGCAATATGCATACATGTCTTGCACATGACTTCCTCATTTTAGCAAAAGCTAAATTCTAGAATTTGTTTTAAGCTCTTTTCATTTCTCTATAATAACTTTTTAATTTATGGAATCACAGAAGATACTAAATAGAATTATGTTTTAATAGCAAACCTCAAGTTTCTCCAGTTTTACAGCCTGCTCTTATGGAATACCCAGTTGAACAACATATAACTTGAGAATACATTTTGAGTTTTGTTTGTTTTTTAATTCCTGAGTAAGCATCTTCAGGTAAGCAAAGGAATCTACTTACCTTCTTGCACATACTGTAAATCATTTCAAGATATTTTGTGTCTGACAGAAGTGTATCTGTATCAACAGTGACATAGTTATGCAAGAGAGGCATCATATCTGCGTTAAAAGAAAAATAATCAAAGTAACATACTGTTTTCACATTTTATGATTTTATAATTTTTTATAACTTTATATTATTTAGGTGTTAAAATCATGTTGAAAGCTACATACTAATAAATTAATCATAATTCTTGCTTACATGCTTTTCAAGATAAGCATGTATCTAATCAGATGCCCTAACAAATCCACTTGCTAGAACAGCAGAATAAAGTACAAATGCACCTCCACTTGAATATACAAATGTTTCAAAGAGATATAAATCCTTTTAAGTTTGAAATCAAATATATGAAGCCATTTATTGTATATAAAATGTATTTATTAGTATTCCTTACCAGTAAAATAATCAATTTTTGAAAGACTTCAAAAACAAGAGGAAGAAGCTGCCACATTTGTGCAGAAACTTGTTGACAGGTCAGGCTATGAGCCAAGGAAAAGATCTCTTCATAGAACTCTAAAACATAAACAGAATGACATTAAATTTAATGTCAATCACATACACTTAAATAATTCAACTAAACTAAAGTGCACATACCTAACACATGCTGTTGCAAAACTGTTCCAATCACTTGCAAACAGATCCCTTCCAGCTGCTGGGTAATCTGAAAAATGAGATTTATGTCTGTTTTCAATACTCTGGAATTGAAATTAAAAACATTTTAAATAAAATTACTCAAAGCAGTTTCTCTTTAGTGAATATTCTAAAATAATAATGAAATTCTTACATTTTAGAGCAGTACATGTGCAAAAGCAGCCCTTTAAATTATTTGTAAAATAGTTTCTAACATGAGGTGTTTTCAAATACTCAAAGTATTCCAAAAAGAACTCATTTAGAAGTACACTTAAACAAGTCCAACACTAACCATATACAATGCCTCAGCTCCGTTAAAACACAGTGAATGAGTGTGTTATGCCAGCCACGTGTACAATGAAAGCTGCAGGAACTCCTCTACTCTTCCAGACATCCGAGATTTCTAAACTCCCCAAACCTAATTTAGACTGATTGTTCACATACCATACAAACATTTCAAGTGCTTGTCCAGTTTCAGACACACTTCCTAACAAACACTTATTCATCTGTGGAACAGCTAGCAGACAGTAACCTGACTGGTAAGGCATTCACCTGGCACTCAGACAAACAAGGGTTGAGTTCTGTTCTGCACAGCTAAGACCAAGAGTTGGACAGGATGCATCTAAATTTAACTATTTATTGATCAACTTTTCCCAATCAAGTTCATCAGGATAAGCACATTATTGCAAAAGCTTTCCATTTAGATATAGAATTTGAGGACAAAAATAAGCAGACATTTGATTTGCTAAGTAGTTTTAGCAAATGAGTCAGTAAGTCAAACCAGTTCCAGGTCTGTTGCATTGCAGCACTCAGGTCTGACCCTGGACAAACAGAATTCCCACTATTCCTTAGTCAAACCCTCAGAGCTCTGACAAAATCATTTAGTCACTGAAAAACTGTAATGTATTTATTAAAAAAAAAAAAAAAAAAAAAAAAAAAAAAAAACCATGGCTGACTATGCCCTATGCCAAGAAGCATTTTTATCAGCCATAGCATCCTTTGGAAAGCTATATTCTGGCTAGAAATTAGTCTGCTCAGTACAATAAAACTAACAGTTTGCATCACACTAGAAAGTTTAAAAATACAGATTAGGCAGGTAAACAACACTCACTTCGCATAATCACAACAGCTATTTTTCAGGCACCAATACTGTTAGAGAAACAAACTAGAGTCAGCAGAGTTAATACTCAAAATTAACTGAAGTTATCTTTTGTTTCAAGGGCAGGCACTATCCAATTTGATTTTTTTTTGGAAAAGCTGACAATTCCATTTACTAAAGAAGCTGACGAAAAGACAGTTTCCACCTGTTTGATAAGAACCTGGATTTTTACAAGAAATACTGGGGCAACATTTATGTTGTTTTGTGAGAAATGTAATTCAGTCTGTTGTATCTTTGTAGCATCAAAAATACTTCCCTGTTTGCAGAGATTTTTGACTGTAAAGAGATTTCCAGGTAATGTCACGTATACACAGTAACTTCAAAGGACTTCAGTGTCTTAGCCAATGAACGTTGCCTTTAAAGTAATTTTTACTCACTTCCTTGTGATCTTCAACTACACTGAGAAGTGTATCAATAGTATTCAAGATTCCCATTGCTGTCACTGCTTTGTCATCACTGCCCTCTTCATCTGGTCCGGTCTGTATCACCTGGTTAAATGTCATTGCCTAGGCGTAATAGGAAAACAACCCATGAATGTGCCATTCAGTGAGGATGTGTTCGAATATGAAGGATTGCACAAGTCTGGTATTCTACATAACCCATTTAATGAGGGCCACTGCTAAGAAATCGGCACGTGAATTAGGAGTTCACTGTCCCTATTTCAGGGCTTGATTTTGAACTGATAAAATTTTAACATTAAACTATTTGCACAGCTACCATTTAGCCATATAAGAAGATTTGTAACTATCAATGACATGGCTTTCTATGCAAAAAAATACTAAATTTATGAAAAAACTATTATTCCATGCTTTAAAAACAGAAAAATAGGTTAGGTCAAATCATAAGGATTATCTAAAATGCACTACTAAAATTCTTTACTATCAAGATAAAATAAGAATCCTTCTTAGAAACTTCACTTTAGTTCAAGTTATGAAGGCAGTTTCGAGCAAAAAAAAAAACAATTCTCAAAATGTAGAAGAAAATCTCTAGCATTAATGCATTTTAATTGATGATTTAATGGGTGGTTTAATAATACCTAGTATTGACTTCCAATCACCTTCATTTTAAACATCCAATCACCTTCATTTTAAACACCACAAAACCCGCTTGGACGGGGTCCTGTGCCATGTGCTCTAGGTGACCCTGCGTGTGCAGGGGGGTTGGACTAGATGATCTCTAGAGGTCCCTGCCAACCTTAAGCATTCTAAGATTCTATGATATTAAGCATCTTTCCCAGTCACCAGAAAGTCTTACCAAATGCTGTGTCATTTCTACAGCAATTGGGGTAACTTCTTCACTATATTCACAGATCATTTTCTGAATCACATTAGTAAGATCATCATTTTCGGTCTCCCTTATAATATGAAGTAAAGCTTGCATTACAGGTCTAATGAATGGAGTAATATATTCTTTAGCTGTAAAACAAGCAGAAATTAATGTATGAATTGACATAAATATTACAATATCACAGTATCACCATAAGATAATCAATATAAGCATTTTTTGTCAACTTAGCCAAAGCATTTGATATAAAATTTACTCTTGCTTTGCAGTATTTATGTCAGTTTCCAGAATACTAAGCAATGCAAAGCTTGCCAAAACAACTAACTTTGATAATAAACTTGAACATGAATAAATGCATGTTGAGTGAGATACACTCATACAGCCACCAATTCAGTGTTTAGGAGTTTAAAAGTAATTTATTGTATCATGAAACCACAAATTAATTTCATTCATCTGGACCTTATAAACATGATTATGTTGTTCATAAACAGCAGCCAGATGGAAAATTACAAATAAGCAATTACAAGTTACAATGATGAGGAGTGAATTAACATCAGGGAACCCTACAAGAAACTTCCTTGAGCTTAGAAACATTAATGCATATTCCATTAAAGTAATGAAAAATGTACAGTAAACTTCCTGTAGCTTTATGAAAAGAGAGATACCTTTCTCTTGATTACTGATCAGAACTTGAAGTGCTATGGCAGCTTCCACTTTCACAGGCATTTCCCTATCATCTATCAGACATCGTCTTGTGAGCTCTAAGGCTGTCTGAAGATTCTGGTCACTCTTAAATTTGACTTCACAAAAATAATGAAGGACCCAGCAAGCCTGAAAAAAGACACTGATTGAATTCAGTTATGTAAACTACAAACTGGATGATGACTATTTATATAGTATACAAAAACAATAGCCAAAACAATTATTTTAATTTGAACAAAAATATGGTTAAATAAGGATACTGGAAAGCTTTTAACTGCTGAAGATGTTTGAGAGTTTGGAGGCTGGCCAGTGGGAAGGTTGTCTTTCAGACATCACTAGACCAGTACTATGATCTCAAGCTCATCTTTGGCCACAGGTTTTGTGTGAGTGGTATAGTCTAAATGCAGAACGCAAACAGACCATACCACTAGACACAGATGGAAAACTATGCACACAGTTCTGCAGCCATTTTAAAGCTGAACAATGGATATTTAAAAACATGCTATATATAAAGACTGATAGTAATCCTTGAAATAAGCACAAAAATTATTACAGAAAAGGTGCAAATAAAAGCATTTCTTGGAGGAAAAAATGATTACGAAAATATTCCTAGCCTCTTCAGCTGTATCTGAACAGTACATCTTTTTCTTACCCGTGCTCTCATGTAACCCAGTTCACTGCTGAAGAGAGGGAACACGTGATTCTGCAACATATATTCCATCTGATCTTTGTATATCTTTTTCTGTCAGAATATTAATACAAACACGTCAGCTAGTAATTTTACACACAAATGCTCTTCTACTCCAATATATAATGGCATATATCAACATATGAACAGCATAACAAAATCCTTACACACTTCTAACCTCGCCCCTTACAAAAAACCAGTTATGTAACCTAAAATTCCATGTTAATAATTTTAACTTGAACACGTTTGAAACTGGCTTTATTTTCAAGAAATATACACACACACACACACTCACACACATTTCTTCCTCAATTTTTGGACTTTTGCTTAGCAGCATGTTACTCTTAACACCAAAATTGTTCAGGGAAGCTTCTGAGGGCATGGTCCAAACAATACAAATTCATGCCTTTCATCTCATTCCCTGCCATTTTAATTCAACATGGACGTTTCTATCCTTCTTAGAAACTAATTTTATTTTATTTCTCCTATACACAGGAAAGGCCTCACTAAAACAAAAACTTTTCAATGGATCTTTTACTTCCACTAAAAAGAAAAAGTACTTAAGTAGGACAGGAAACTGTGCAGCAGTTTTTATTAAAAACAACATATAACTGAAGTTCTTCACACAAGTCACCTGAACTCCAACAAGATCTGATAAAACATATGCAATTAAGCTGACAACTGATCAAAATCGAAACACTCAAGTTCAACAGCTAAGAACGAACTTGCAATGTCTCTTCCAAAAGTTGTAAACTCAAAGAGCTATTTTATGTCTTCTAAAAAATTAGGAAGAAAAAAAATATATATGTGAAAGAAGGAAAGAAAAGCACAGAAACCCAAAAGAACTACCAGCTTGATTCCACTCACTTTTAGGAGAATTTCAGCCAAAGAGCCAATCATATGTAAAGCACCATCCTTCTTACGAGGGTCAGCATTTGGCTCTGTAAGGATCTGATAACAAAATCCCATGGTCTTCTGCAAGACCTAAATTACATACAAGGACAGTATTAGCCAAAGAACTTCTACTAATTGCCTCATGTATCATTGTTAGTGCTCCAAAATGTTCAAATTGTGTAAAACAATTTCTTCCAAGTCCAGAACTTGGCCAACAATTTATAACCCTACTATAACACACAACATTGCTAATATACTGGGCTGGGAATTGGCAAATACAAATTCAAACTCATATACTAGTGACAAATAAATATGAACAAAATTATAAATTTTAGTGCAGTACAATTTAACATACAGAGCAAAAATTTAATCAACTACTCTTTCAGAAAAAAAGATATAGAATATCAACTAAATTAGGGTCATATATATGTTTGATATAAAATGAAATCCTTGGAATAGCTTACCTCTTTCCTTTTACTACATGATGTAAACAATAATGTCTGAGCAGCAGTTGTTGGAGAAATGAAGTCTTCAAATACATCTATTAAATAAAACAGAAATTTTAGTCCTTTAATACAACTCATGATGCTTAAGTCACCCAACAGTCTAATATAAAACAAAAAAGCCAGAATTTTGTAGCTTGATCAGGTGGTTTCATTGCGCTTTCCTATTACAAATATCAAGAAAAAAAAAAAAAACACTGTTACACAGTTCTAGAGCTTTCTTAAATAGCGTTGTTTCATCTTTTTCATAATCACTGAAAGCATGTCTATTTTCAAATTGCAAGGCCTCCTATTTTCAGGATAAGTCTTTTCTAGATACAGAAGCAGAGACTGATGCAGTGAAATATGTTATCTGAATGCAACTGAGTAAAAAATACTTGCTTTCTTATTTCTCTGCAAAGTCAAATATTTGTATAATACCTGTACTGTTTTATAGGTCTGACCTTGACCTGAGGGCAACCCTCCCCTCAAATCATGAAGGTTCCTTGTTTTAGTCACTTAAAAGTCCAAAAGGAGGACTTCTGTTCAGGAAGTCTGTCTCCTCTTTCCTCTTCAGCCTGAATAGACTGCACAGTCTTATAGCAAGTGACAAGAACAAAGACACTTTTCAACAAGCAGAAAAAAAGGAAAACGGAAGCCTGGAATATTAGGCTTATTTCATATTTTATTTACCATGATGGTGCTTTATTTACCATGATGGTAAATCTAATCTGACTTATGCTATGTTTAAAATTCCTTAACTTAGTAGTGTTGGATTTATTTAATGAAAACTTCATAGTTGTCAAGGTTAGCTACTTTTTCAAATGCAGAAGCAACTGTTGTTGAGACATAAGCTGTTATTTACATCAGGATACCAGAAGTTAGCTATATTATTTAGTTAATAACCTCTTTTTAAGGTTTAAGCTATCTCTGCTTTCACAAAAACTCCAAAAACACAGGGTTTGTGTTAAGATGCATTATAACACGAAGAATAGATTTAAATTCTCACCAAATTTCATGCGAATATACTCATATGGATCTTCTTGCCAAAGCTCTTCATCCGCATCTGTATAGCACATCAATGGAAATATAACATCTTGGATAATTCCCTGCAATAGGAAAAAGTTAAAAGATTATCGGTTCTTCTCTCTATTCTATCCTGTATTTAACATAAACAAGACTTTTGTGCATTCCATCAGTTATGATACAAAACAGTAACACACTGAAATCACCATCTTCAGTACTACCTTACAGAAGGAAAACACAGTAAAAAGCAGAACACCAGTACCACACAAGCTATTAGGTCTGTGTTGGATAACAGCAGATAAAGATGATTTAATGGCACCATTCTGTGGTTATAATCTCCAAATTTGCTATGTTGCTCTGTTACATTATATAAGCCTTAATAATAAAACACAGAGCACTGACATCAAATCATATAACTTGTAAGTTTTAAAATTTAAAATAAAACTGCATCTTCAAGTACTTTTCAATCTCTCTGTTCAAACAGCAACCCTACTTTGATGCTTTAAATATACATTGAAATTCTGTTCAAATGTCAAGAGCTCTACTCCAAGTAAACTGTATATTGGCTAATCATAGAATCGTTAAGGTTGGAAGGGACCTCTAGAGATCATCTAGTCCAACCCCCCTGCACACGCAGGGTCACCTAGAGCACGTGGCACAGGACTGCATCCAAGCGGGTTTTGAAGATCTCCAGAGAAGGAGACTCCACAACCTCTCCTGGCAACCTGTTCCAGTGCTGGGAAAAGGGAAAGTCTTTTACCACAAGTGCAGTAAGAACAGAAATCAATAACAGAATCGATTTCTTAGAGCACAGAAATAAGCATCTAGAAATAATTGTATCTGCAAAAATGCTTGCAAGAAATAACTTAGTTTGATCCAGAGTAATTAGCCAGTCTTCCTAATATATCTAAGAATCTTCAAACAGATTTAAACTCTTTCCACCAGTTATTTATAAAAGAAACTCAAAAATCTAGAACATTAGACTCATGGACTATCGAATCATTGAAGTATTAAAATGGTTTACTTGAATATGAGGTTTCAGATTCTTCCAGGTGACAGCATGTGACACTCCTTGATTGATGTAATTCAGTGTTTGCTGCAGAACTCTAGGAGCCATGTACTGTTTCTCCTTGTATTGATACAACACCTTCAGCAACACCTAAACAGATTTCATAGCTTAGAACAGAACACAAGGCCTTTTAACATGAAAAATTCCACCCTCCCTCATAATCCAACATAATAGCCGTTCAAAATTCCACTAAAAAGATGTTTGTATATTAGACTAAATGGATGCTGATTTAACCTATCATTTAATTGTCATTGGTCATTTATAAGGCAATTCTCAGCTCCTATAAGCAGCTCTGCTTGTCTGCTGGATAGGCATCCTTCAAGAATACAATCCTTGAAGCAGAGAAAAGTCTAATGCTAATTCATCCCTACCATTGCTTAAGGTGCCTTTCTCCCTTATATTTATTATTTTGTCTTGTTACCCTTCGAAGACAGGTATACATACTCAAATACTGGATTGGTAAAATATTCTAGACTCAGGTACTCTAACAATTCATGCCTATATGCCCCATTACAGAGGTGACACTAGGCTATATATGAATAAGGTCAAACATCTTTCTCCTCTTTGCTTTCTAGCACAAGTTTTTCTGCTGAGGCAAAATTCTAAGCTAATTGCAGGGATTTAAGTTCATGAAAGACCTTATTTCTCCACAGATAAAGATATAATTCATGGAAATGTTGTTAGTATTTAAATTCCATCCTATTGGACAGGTTTGGGATCAACATGCAAGGAGGCTTCCTTGCAATCCAATCCAAGCCAGTGACAATTGCTCTTTACAGCTTACATTATCATACAGGAGAAAACTGTAAGAACCAGCTAAAACACCATTTTGCAGAAATTTCTTTTAAAGACTTGAATTCCCAGCGTTTCCTAGATACATTAACAAAGGACAAATTTGACTTCATAGGAAATCCTGGGATAAAAAAAATACTGTACTGTTCATCTTTTTTGAAAAGTTATTTTTCCACACACACTTTCTTAGAAGTTAGTATTATCTGAAAACAACATAACCAACACTACTGACATCTCAGGAGGAGGACAAAGACTCCACTTGTCCGAGTAAAATGTTGAGATGCTTCCTAACACTGTGTTACAAATTTTGTGCTCCTTTCAATAATGAGGATGACCTTCAGAATGCATATATTTGGGAAAAGTTTTCCCTATTTTTTTCTCTTTTAAATGCTCAGTCCTGTCAGTTATTGTAATTTCTTTAGGAATGAAAAACAATTTGAAGAAACTGAGAACTATTTTTCTCATGATTAAAATAAGGCCTTTTCCTTAAAGATTCAGCTCCTTGTTTTCATAACTGAAATGTCTGTTTACGTTTACAGCCTAATCACCTGCTAAGAAGCAAATTTAAGAGTTAACACAACTATAAACATTTTTACAAAACTAAAGTTTTATGAACAAACTTGTTTCAAGAGAAGAGGAGCCAGCAGTACAGCCAGGAACAACAAATCAGCTCTAAGATTTTCCAGATTTTCACAGGAATTTTCTTGCTGGTTTAAAATATTCCAGTTACTGACTCACAATACATGCTCTCTAAAGAAAGGTAAGGTGATAATTAACTGCACCACTAGTCTATTTATGCCTTTTTCCTGGAGGTTGCTGACATGAACTAGGTTTGACTATATCCTGAAGTTACTTAGTAAAGATAAAGCAAGGGTTATCTGGCAGTACATTAATAGTCAAGGCTATAAACATCCCTGTTCCAGGAGATACCTTGTGTATAACTCAGCTGCTATACAAGTATCACTCTTATCTCTGTCTAGGGACAAGTGAACTGACTTACCTGCTTGTAATCCTAGCCCCTCGCTCTTGGAGAAGGCCTTTATAAAAGGCTAGAAAGCTTAGTACCTACATTCACTGACTTACAGTCAAAAATAGCCCCTGTATCATCTGAACTACCCCTTAGGATCAACCCACACTGTAAATATTAGAGCTATCTCTTTCAGAGGGGGAATAAATATAAATATATATATATATATACACACACATACACACACACACACTTCTCATCTAAAAATTCACTTGTAAGCCAGCATGTACTCTATTTACAGATTATCCATACTGCATGGACTATTTTTAGTGGATTGTCCCAGGGCTCAAATAAAAAGTTTCTCTAAATTTTTTCACTTCCTCCCACCCCCACAGACATCAATGCTTCCAGCAATATTCCACTACCAAAAAAAAAAAAGGAAAATTTTCAGAAAATAAGGAAAGAATAAATCATTACTAACTCTACATTTATCCCAATATCCCACACATTCAGAGTTTCTTACTTGCTGAACACCAACTGCAAATGCCTTCAGGAACACTTCAGCAAACTCATTGTATTCCTTGGAAACATTACCAGGACTCCCATATCTAGAATTAGAAAGCAAGTATGCAAATTCAAACACGTAGCAATATGTTACCAATTTTAAGTAATATAAGAGAAATTACCTCTCAAAAAGTCTAGCCAAGATATGCAAAGCCCACTTTTTGCATTTCCACCAAGGCAATTCAGGTCTATCATCTTCATCAACTTGAAGGGTTTCCTTTAGGAAAAAAAGCATTTATTTACCTACTATTAATGAAGAGTTCAAATTATATATTTCTGAGCAACTAGACAGCATATTTGGCTTTTCTTCTACAGTGCCAATTGCATATCACATTCCTAGTTTAACAGAAGCATAAAGTACAGCAAAACTACAAATCTCGTGATCCATGCAGCATAAATGCTGTTCTTTAATCAGGAAGCCAAAATAAATCATAATGTAATTTGAAAACAGAACTCTCATTCAGGTTACACACTTTAGAAAATTTTCTGTTTAAATTACCATATTTAAATTATTTTTTCTTTGTACTTATAGACAAAAAAGATTTCAGAAAAAAATTAAACTTTCAAAATTCTTAAGACATTAAAAATACTTAGGCATAGAGAGACAAATATCCAAAAGCCACTTACAGCTGGTACATCCCTATCCACAACAGTCTTCAGGATTTCTATCCATTCAGTCAGGTTTTGCTGATTTATCAACTCCAAAGGTAATGTATACTTATTTTTAAAAATAAGGAAAAAATGCAAATTAAATTTAGTAGAAAGCAATTTGAAAATGTCTATTTCAGTTTTAATTTTAGCTCTTTAGCTCTAGCTCTCAAATATTTCTGTATAATTAGCTAACAGGAGAGGCTAGCAAAGGATCCAAAAAACAGTCTGAAGAACATTAGCACTACCAAGAATAGGTTGCATAAGAGCTTCACTCCAGCTCGCCGACTCTGCAGCACTAAGAGTGCTTAAAAGGGATGTTACTCTAATTTCCGAATCACCAGCACATCAACAGTTTCCTTCCAAACTGCCCCATTTACTTGGGTAATTCTACGGAGGCTGGCCTCTACAATCTGGCATTAGAAAATTGATTTTGTTTTCTAGCAAGCACTCAGGCTTAGAGGGTGGCATGCATAACTTCTGTCTAATGCTTGACTAGGGAAAAGTATAGTATTCATTTCACAGCACAGTTAATCATACCAAAACCCTGCTATTCATACCACAGTTGAGTAGTAGTGGAAACTGACTCGGATGTAACTTAACACATAATATTTCTACTATTTACTACTTTAAGGAAAAATAGTAGTGCTTCAAATTAAGTTACTAATTAAGAATATGTAAGACTTATTTTTACCTGGACAAGTGCATAAAATATTTTAAAGATTTGTTTCTGGATGAGGACAGATTGATCGGATGGATCATTCAAGAGCTGAATGAAACTGTCCTTCAGCACTGGTAGAAAATGTTGCATCGCAGCTATCAAAGGACTCCGCTCCTCTGGTTTCTTGTACCTTTAGACAAGACTAAAATTAGTCCTACAGTTCATAAGATTTCAAAAACCCTACTAATATTTTGTCATAGAATTTGGACACTGAGCTGTAGCCAGGCAACATTACCCTCAAAAAGCAAGTTAAAAACATGCTCAGCTCCCATTACTGTGCTATAGATCTGCATTGACATTCTGCTGGTAACGCACCCCTGCTGACTGACTTTGAATACCGCACACCATGTTCTGCCACACCACTACTATGGTGAAACGCAACCAAAGCACTATAAAAACCGCAAGCAAAAGTGCTACACCTATAGCCAGGAATGGCAGATATTGGGTTAATTGGTACAATTCCCAAAAGCCATTTATCAGAATGCAATTCACCAAAATATTTCCAGAAACGGAATAAAGGAAGCTGAGAGGTCATTCCCATATCCTGCTGTTTCATTTCCCTAAATCTTACAATTGGACAGGGAATGAAGGCTTTGAGGACCTGAAAGGGATGCAGGATGGCCTTCTTTTTAAAAACACCCTCTGAAATGGGGCTCCCAAGCCTTCTGCACTAGTGACAGTCCCTCGTTTGCCTGTGCTGAAAGCAGGGCTGCACTTCTTAGAATACTCCAAAGTTTTGGAAAGGAAATGAAGCCCCATTTTGAAATATTCTGCCCAGATCTTAACTTACAAGAGGAAAGTCCTTAATGACTCTAGATCCTAGAGCAGCACAGGAAACTAGGATCTAGCCTGTACCTGTGACGCCAACAAGAACAAAGCAAGTACCACTAAGAATGTACAACTCTTTATTTAAGCAATTCATACTTTAGCATTCTTGGATCTTGTGGGAGGGTTGCTTTGTGTTTTGTTTTTCCACAAATGCATTTTTGATAAGACTTTCCACTAATAATAAACATTAATCAGTGCTTAGTCTCCTAACACCACCAATGTGGACAAACACAATAAATGCGATACAGCCTCCTGCCAAATGGTACATTCTGTTAAAACCGCTACAGAAGAGAGGTCCAAAATCCTGTTCAAATAATGCAGTTTCCACATATTTGCTGAAACAGAAGCCTATATAAAAAGACCAGATGTTGCTCAGTAAAACTGAAACCCTAATTCCCCCAATATATGTAACTGGGAGGAAAAAAAAAAAAAA